CAAAGAGAATTGTTGTGTTTATCCTTTTTTGTCGGACTTTGTTGGCGGCTTCGTTGAGGGTCAGTACATTGTTCATGCATCTCCCAAGGATGAAGCCTGTTTGGTCTTGAGGAGCAGTACGTTGTCCAGAGTGCATCTCCCAGAGATGAAGCCTGTTTGGTCTACACAAAAACATTTGCCTGTCAGGTCCAGGATTCGAAAGGCAAGAAATTTGGCTAAGATCTTATAAAGAAGGGTTAAAACCAAGATGGGTCTTCCAAGAGGAACAGACTGCATTTTGGGAAGACAAGAGGACTGTTTTGGGGCAAGAGAGTGCTGCCTACCGCCTTCACCCGAATAAGCTGCCCGGTTGCTGCATCTGGTCTGAAAGTTGCCCAAAATACACTACAATGACCGCACATTCTATTCGGGTGAAGACGGTACGGAGGAGTGGTGCACCTCGGAGCTGCATAGGATAATCTACACCTACTCGTAAATTGCCTAGAGGAGCTTCTTGCACTGCAGAGCATCCTACTTTGCATCATCTCAGCGGGCAGACTACCTTCATAGCAGAGTTGGCAACTGGGATTTTTAGAAATACCTAGGAGGCGGTCAGGGCTGTGGTGAGGTGGATAACGGAATGTTAATTAGCCCCGCCTCACCTCCTCCCCTCATATGTCGTATGGCACGACGGTACTTCTGCCTGTCGGTGCTCTTCTGCCAAATCAAGTGTAACAGTTCAACCAACGGTTACCTGCCACGTCTTAGGGTTTGCTTGTAACTCAGGGATAAGCCTTGTGATTTCCCCCCTGTCCTCATCTTGTTGGATTCAATCTCTGATGGTCGTCTTGATGAGGCAGAGCTTGACTAATTTTACACAGCATGGTTAATACTTCCCTGGGACGGGAGTTATCGATGGCCCTTGCTCATGGTCCTTCCAGTAGATCTCATATCTCTTATGCAAGAGCCGCTGGACACATTTTCCAGCAGGTGCAGCTCCCCACCAATGGATCTCTGATGGTAGTCCCGATGAGGCAGAGCTTGACTAATTGTACACAGCGTGATTAATCCTTCCCTGAGAGGGGAGTTATCAATGCCCCGTCCTCATGTTCCGTCAAGTAGATCTCATATCTCTTATGTAAGGGACGCTGGACACATTTTCCAGCAGGCGCAACTCCCCACCAATGGGACAGAGCAATCTACCAGGCAGGTTCTCCTACGTGATGGTGCTCTTATCTCCTTGAGAGACCCAGCTACCAGGTTTTCATTATAAAAAAAAGAAAAAGGAATACCTGTACCCAACCTAACCGCACCCTCTTTGAAAACCAACCACCCATACCCACTGTATACCTGGCCTACCGGACCTTCACCCATCTCTACCTGCTCCAAAAGAAAAAGACGTGTACCCATACCTGCCCTTCCAGAACCTCTTCAGACTGTAACTGCTCATACCCGCCCATGGACTTCTTCTTCGAAACCACCCATGGCCACCTGAACCCAAACTGTTTGTTAACCACCCGTACCCTACGCAGCCCAGGATTTCTTTACCCATACCTACTCACAATTGTATGCACCCACCCATAACCGGCCGAGCCCGTCCGTCTTCTGAATCCCGACACCTGCAGCAGCTGCCGATCACACCTGCAACACCCTCCTGCTGGGTCACTACTTATTTGTGCCTGCCCATACCCAACTCCCCCTTCGGAAGGGTTACCCCATCCCACCCATAACCTGGCGGTTACGGTTGGGTACCGTCGGTTACAGACAACGCTATCTACACAACTTCTCCAACTCCACTGCACTTTTCATTCCATTCTCTCCCCCACCATAGATCTCCATCTCAACTTGCATAGCTACTTTTCCACCCCCCCCCCAGCATCTTCCACTGCACTTCTTCCACTTCTATTATCTCCACATTCATCCAGGCCTCCAAAGTCATCTTTCCACCTTCCTCACCTTTTCTCTCTTTCAAAACCTCGTCAAACCAAAACTCACCTTTTTTTCTCTTATATTACTTCTAGCCGATAAAAAAAAAAAGAGAAGATGAACAACAAAGTAAAAAGAAATGGAAGAGAAAGAAGGAAAAGAGAAAGGAGAAGGAGGGAAAGAAGAAGGACATGGAGAGGAATAAGAAGAAAAAAGGAAAAGGTGAACTCCCAATGCGTGCCGTCCCTCTTAGTCTCTGCCTCCAAGTAGACTTCCCCATCTAGGCTAATTCAGGATACGGTAGTTCTTATTATGCGGCTCCATATAGTCCCACTTCCCGCTTCACCCGAATAGAACACCTGGTCATTATGGCTGCACCCGTAAGAACACCCGGTCATTATGGCTGCATTTGAGGCAACTTTCAGTCCAGATGCAGCGAAAATGATCGGGCGTTCTATTCAGGTGAAGACAGTAGGATGCTCCAAAGTAGCTAGCTGCCTCCTGGTATGCGCCAAGGTACAACCAGCTACTCTAGGTAGCTCTCCCTTGTGCCAAAACTTTCTTCTTTCTTTCCCGAATGCAGTCCACTTCCTCTTCCAAACCTAGGACAGTCCCTACCAACCTCCATGGATCTCAAGGCTATAGAGGACCTCCCTTGAGCATCTGATTTAAAGTAGCATCTCCCAAGGTAGGAAAGAGTCCCTTCCTGGTCTAAGAACACTCCCGGCAGGCTCCTATACGGATTCGAGCCTCCCCCTAGGCTGGCACCAATTCCCCCTAGCCACCTACAAGTTCACCATAGCCTAGGAGCTCTCCCAAGGCCTCAAATGGCCTCCACTGTCAGTATCTAGACCAGATACATGCAATCCGAGGCATGGGACTTCCTCTGACTGCCGAAAAGCAGCCAAACACCTCCGCAGCCTTGCACAAGTGTTTTCTTTTGAAACACAGTCCTGGCTTTTGATCAAAATCGATGTACGGCCAAGAACACTCCCGGCAGGCTCCTATACGGATTCGAGCCTCCCCCTAGGCTGGCACCAATTCCCCCTAGCCACCTACAAGTTCACCATAGCCTAGGAGCTCTCTCCTTCACTCTAACCTGCAGAGCTCAGCTCTCCTCTCCGAAGTGCAACTCTGAAGTACGGCAAGTGAGGCCAACCGACAGCATAGAAGTTCTGCCAAGTGTGTGTACGGCAAGTGAGGCCAAACGGCTGACCTCTCCTGCCTTTGTCGGTTAAGAAAAAGCTCACGCTAGCACCCAAGCTGCTTGGCAGCCTTCAAGGTGTTGGTGTGCAAGGTACAAAGGCCACAGAAGGTCCCAAGGCCTCAAATGGCCTCCACTGTCAGTATCTAGACCAGATACATGCAATCCGAGGCATGGGACTACCTCAGACTGCCCAAAAGCAGCCAAACACCTCCGCAGCCTTGCACAAGTGTTTTCTTTTGAAACACAGTCCTGGCTTTTGATCAAAATCGATGTAGGGCCAAGACTGTATCTTGTTGGAAGGTCCTTTGATCTCCCCAATACTTGATTTTCTTTTGTTTATTGTTTTTCTCCCTGTTTACGGAGATCCGAGGTAGGCCTCGACCTTGGATGACTTCCTTCTGGATCTGAAAAAGATCTATCTAGCTCGATTAACTGCAAGTTAAAAAACCAAGACGGCATTGACTAGCCGCAGTCAACCGACTCCTACTAAGTGAAATCTCATCAGCTGCTGCTACTCTGATGTACCTGCTAAGGAATACAAAGCGGTCGACATAGCCAAGAGTGTCTTGCTATAAATTAGGCAAATGGTTGGCGGAATCGCTGCGGTCAATGTACACCTTGAGAACAGGACAGTGTAAGGATTCTACCAAGGAATGAATTCATTTTTTATTATTATTATTTTTTTTTTCGTGGGGAAACTGCCCGTATGGGAGCTAGGGGTGCTGGTACGAGCAGACACCTCTGTCTCCCCCGGGAAGGGTCCGTCTATTGGTGGGGAGCAACACCTGCTGGAAATCGGGTCCAGCGTCCCTTACACAAAAACCATTTCAATCGCACTGAGTTGTTTCTGACTGTCTTCCGACCTGCCAGCATTGATTACCCTCAGGACAGGGGATTGACTGAGCAGGAGGGTGAGCATTCAACTAGGGAGGGGGAGGGGGTTTCTTCAGCCCTGCTGCTGGGCGCCCGAACTATGTGACCATCTAGCCCCCTTCTTCCCAGCCTTCGCTGTGCCCATCTCTCCTTCATTGTAGTCCATACCACTGCAGATCCACCATTGATAGACCATGAGGCGGGAAGAGGTCAGGGAAGTCCAAGGGGGAGCGCAGCGGTATTGCTGCATCCACCTTAGTCCAGTCTTGAAAGCAGATGTTGTAGTCTCGTCTCATATTATCCTCCTCTCCGCATTCTGGGAGACTGCCTCCTTCCCAACAAACATAAGTTATTCTACCCCCTTGGTCACTTCCCGACCAATCCCTTGAGAATTGATCAATAGCCTGTGTTATGTCCTTTTTGGTATGAGTTCTATCCAGTTCAGCTTTCACTGTCTACCATTGTATTGTAAGTTCATCCTGAACATATTGTTTGATTAGCTCGGTCATTTCCCCATCCTCTAATCTTACTTTTTCAATGCATCATATACATCGTTACCTCCAAAGAGCCCAAATAAGGGCCCTCCCGATCTTGAACATATTCTCTTCAAAAATTCTGTTCATAGGGGGGAGCCACGTTTCACACAAGAGCGCTCTCCAGTCCCATGGCCATTCAGACTCTGTACGGTGAGGATCGCCCCTGGACATTGTAGAAAAATGTGCTCTATGGTCTCGGGGATCTTGACGGCAGGAAAGAGTGTCAGACAGGACGTGCACCATGGTGTGGCTAAACCCTTTTGTGGGGAGGCAGCGGTGTTCAATCAGCCAATCGTTCGTGGGGAGGCAACGGTGTTCTATCTGCCATTGCAGGGAGGCCATCTTTGCTGGTCTGGCCTTTGTGGCGGTGAACCATCGGATGGGGCGGAGGCAGTCCCTTCCCACATTCAGATGGGCCATCCCGCGTTCCCGCACAATGCTCCTAAGATCAACCCGAGGCCTAAAAAGCCGGTATGTACCTTTCACAGACAGGTCGAACAGTTTCTTGACTTTCCCGGATCTGATCTTGCCGGACGGGCAACATTGCCATTCCAGCGGGTCGATGGGGAGTTTGGCAAGCGGGATTTCCGAGAGGAAAGCTACCCATTCCTCTTGTTCCCCCACTACCCTAATTCTGAACGAGTCCGCCTTCTGCCACCTTCTCTTCTCATCGTGCGGATACCAAACAAGACGATTATCCAATCCCCGGTGGAAGAGGGTTTCCAACACCTCGTCCTCTCGTATTTCCATCACCCTACCTACATTCTCACTATCCCCCGTCATTGCAACCCAGTCCCCTTTCCGGAGCCTCGGCCCCCTTCGCAAAATGCGCACCCAGTCCAGGGAAATAGAGAAGATTAATTGGTCCAGCTGTTGTTCAATGTGATGACAGGACTTCAAGCTGGACATCAATTGTTGAGCAGTTTTCCATTTTCTTTCGTCGCTATCCCATATGTCCCAAATTCTTGTTACACCTCTTCTCGCCCAACAGTTCCAAGCGGCGGTAGAGCTACAATATACCCTCCCATTTGAGTCAGTGACACACATATTGCCAAAAAGCGGCTGTCTCGCTACCTCTTCCCATCTATCCGGTGACCCTTTGTCAGGCAGCGGCAGTTGGGGCCATGCGCGCAGGGCCTTGACCCAGAAATCGTCCTTGGTCAAGTCAGTTCTGGCCATTCTTCGATCAGACTCCCCGTGGGTCTTAGAGTATCGTGGAATAGTGCAGAAACGGTCCTCTAACCAGGACAGGGGATCCACCTCCTGGGGGGCCAATCTTGCGATCTGTTCCAAAGCCATGGCACGCCACGGGAGGAGGGGAGTAAATATAAGCCTCCTGATCCATTGTATTGTCAATGCTGTGATTTGTATAATGGGGTCCAGAATCTCTAGTCCTCCTTTTTCCTTGGGTTGAATAACTGCTGACCAGGCCACTCTGTTAATGACATTAGGGAGCCTACTGTCCCCTCTCCATAATAGCACGGCCACTTGCCTCTTTAAGGCTCTAACTGCTTCCTTGCTTGGGGCCCATATTGCCGACCTGTACCACAGCAAAGCGAAAACCACATTGTTGATAGCCAACGCTCTGCCCATCAGCGATGTGTGTTTGTCATTCCACTGGGTAATTTTTTCAAGCGCGGGTTTTAAAATAGAGTCATCGTTGGATGCTGGTTTGCATATGGCTGTTAACACGATGCCCAATACTCTGATCGGGGCCGTTTCCAGCACCCATTTGACCCGTGGCAACTCAGGGGGGCGCACCCCTTGGTGATGTATCCACCAACCAAGTGTCTTGTTTCCCCGGTTAATAGTCATGTCCGATACTGCCGTAAACCTCTCCATCAGGCTCGTGATCTCCTCCATATTCTCAGGGGAAGCATCCACCATAACTGTTAAGTCATCTGCGAACTCCGGAGTTTCTTGATGTCTTTTAGTTCGAAGGTTTGCGGCCAGTGCTTCCATCACTATTACGGATAAAAAGGGGGCCAAGGGGGCCCCTTGGCGGACCGATCTTCGAAGAGAAATTTCCGGGGCTAACACCCTATTAACTTGAATCCGGTGGCATTGAGGTGGAGAATTGCGGTCCATCTTCGGAAATCGGGACCAAATTTCACCAAAATTAATTTTTGCCATGCATTTATCCAAAAAGTCCAGTCTACATGGTCGTAGGCTTTTTCAAAATCGATGAAGACAACCGCTGCATTACATTTATCTTGTCTGGTTAGCCTCAAGACCTCGTTTACTAGTAAGATATTATCCTGGATCCTCCACCCGTGCATGAACCCGGTTTGCGCAGGATGAATCAAACTCATCCAGAACTCGGATCAAACGGTTGGCCAGGCCTTTGTGAGCATTTTGTATACCACTGTCAACGAAGTTATGGGACGATAATTCCTAATATCCATCTTATCCCCTTTCTTATGTAATAAAGTGAGGACCCCCTGGCCCACCAACTCCCCCATATTGCCTGTCTCCCACACATGGCGATAGTACTCCATGAGATCATTGTCAGAAAGAACAATTAGATCAACAACTCTCACAGGAGGAAATCCGGACAGCATTGAGTCAGATGGATGAGGAAAAGACCCCCGGCCTCGATCGTTTTCCCAAGGAGTTTTGGGAAACACTTTGGAATTCAGAAGCAGTCTAGCGTGAAATATCCGTAAAATAGCTTAACTGCCTGTCCCTCAGAATCACCAGCTGCGTTCGCCCGAATACAATGTATGGTCACTATTGCTGTATCTAGACTTAAAGATCCCCCAAATACAGCTATAATCACTGTACATTGTATTCGGACGAACACAGTAGTCCTCCATTAGCTGGAGTCCTGCTTTTGGTGACAAAAAAATGCAGAAGCAATCCACAGTGATATTACTCCTGGAGAATAAGAGAAAACAGCAAAGGAAGAGAGACACTCCAGATACTAGACATTCAAGTTGATTCAACCACACACATACACTGGCCATTCTGACCGGTCACTCACCAACTCAAAACACCACTCCCATCTGCACATCTCCTCGACCACAATCCGTTCGCTGGCAAAGTCGCTAGAGAATTCCGTATGCATTGTAATCAAAATAGAAAAGTCCAATCTTCAAACACAATCGCAACCATAACAGAATCACTCACCAACTCAAAACACCACTCGCATCTGCAGATCTCCTCAACCACAATCCGTTCGCTGGCAAAGTCGCAAGAGAATTCCGTGCGCACTGTGCATAAAAAACAAATAGATGTCCAATCTTCAAACACATTTCCGCCGCCTGATCCAGTTTTCGGATGTGACGTCGCAGTACCGTTCCTTCCTCGCATCAGCCATTGCGAGCACCTGTTGCCAAAATTCTCCAATGTTCAAAAGTTACGAACAAATAGATAGATGGGCCATTTTGGCCAGTCTTCACAACCTTAACCCTAGCCGACTCATTCACCACCCCGAAACACTATACCTGTATGCCGATCTCCTCGACCACAACCCATTTGCTGGCTGGTAAAGGCACAACAGAGTGCCTCACAACAAAATGTCACATCTTCAAAGCTCAAAGTTCAAACACAATCCAGCTGCCCGATCCAGTTCCGGGATTTGTTGTCACAGTGAAGTTTCTTCTTCACATCAACCATTGCCAGCACCTGCTGCCTGAATTTTCCTGTTTGTTTTGCTTCTTTTCTGCATCAGTTCATCCATTCGCTGGAGTGCGAGTCCAGTTGTGATTGCCTGATATCAATTCGACTTTGATGACTTTGACGAGCTGAATAGTAGTTTGGCTGAATAGACACTCTCTCCGCCTTCCTTGAGTGCCTGTACTCTGCCGGGTCCTACCTGCGCAGTATTGAGTTCCGTGCACATAACATTTGTTAGAACTGCCACCAGAGCTTTTACCAGTTCAAGCCTCATGTTCCGGCCGAAAAAAAAAAAAAACTCACACTGGTGTAGGGTTTAGGGTTTAGTAGCTTAGGGATGGGGGCTAGGGTTTTGGGTTTAGAGAAAACTGCTGCCTCTTTTTGTTGTTTTTGTTTTTTCGTCAAGTGTCTGCGTGCATGCGAGTTTTCAAATTGTCACCCTCGTTGCATTCAAAAAAAAAAAAAACTACTTCTCACCGACTGACAATCAATCAGTACCCCAATGCATGGTAAGGCAAGACTGAATCATAACCACGACTTTGATTTTTAATTTCTCATAACCACGAAGATCAATCCGTCACAATGTCTAGAAATCCATCCACAAAAGCACAAATATCCACAGAAGACCAGTCCCTAAAAAGCGATGTTCATCATACGCTATCAAGCCTAAGCTGGCAATAGGTTTATGAATCATTATGATTGATTGCCCTTTTCCAACAACGTGCATTGCCGCTGCAGCAGCCCTTGACAGGATCAGAATACATCCACGGAAAGGGAACCCCCCAAGTTCCGAAACATGTTTGAAGTTTTTGGTGATCATGTAGCCATGCAGCGTGTTTGCGTCATTCCGATGGATGTCCATTTGAAGCATCATGTACTGAAACTTGAACCAAAACAAGGAGCACAAGCCTGAAACAAAGCCTGGACCAAAACTTGGACCAAAACCTGAAGCAAAACTTGGACCACAACCAAGAGCAAAACCTTGAACAAAAGCCTGGACCAAAACCTGGAGGAAAACCTAT